AGAAAATAAAGTGGTGCAACGCTGCAATTTAGAACTACTATATTTTAAAAACCTTGCATATGGAATTATTTTTTTAACATGTTGAATAAATTGATAGGAGTGCATTGTAAAAGATACGGAAATTTGCATGCACATTATTAGAAATTTCCTATAACAAAAAAACATAATTAAGGGTTTAACTTATTTTTGCTAAATTTTTTGCTACCATAAGGGCTCATTGATGCCAATGATTGATAACATTGTTCAACAAAAATTTGAGGTTAAAGATGTTTGAAGCATCCTTATACTTATTAATAAACCTATTTGCTCACTACTTGCTTTTGCTTTAATGCTTTTGCTTTAAATAAATAAACTACAAAATAAAGATTGACCAGAAATATTGATTAAAAAATAAAGCTCTGATTGGCCAAAATAAGTAAATTAATCCATGTTAATTAAATATCCATAATTAGAATGACTTGGTTACTTTCTTATCAGAGAATATTGTTGTGAACTTAAAACAAGACAGGTATGTCATGACATGATATATATAGACAGGTATATCATGCAATCAAGAGTTTGTTAACAGTTAAACATTGTTTAATTATATGCAATCATTTTGGAAATAAAAATTTTAAGAGAAAACATAAGCTGTGTTGTCTCTACGGTAGGAACCGTTAGGAGTTTTCTCTGAATGCTTTTTTTTTTCTAGAATTATAAAATTTTAAAATTGAATCTTTATGTTTGAGACCTTTTGAACAAAATATGTAATAAAAAAAATAATAAATACACTTGTATACCTTTTTTGTTGAAATATTTTTATCTAATTTATTCACACATTTATTTATCAATAAATTTTCAATAAATATATACTTATCTATAAACAAATTTTTAATAAATACATATTTATTTCTCAATAAATTTCATAATAATTTAACATTTTTAATAATAATTTCTTAAATTAGTTTACAATAATATAAAAAAAAATCATTTGAAAAAATAAAAAGATTGTCGTCATAAACAAGAAAATAAACAGCTAAAAATATTTTAAAACGCTTCATAGTTAAGGGAAAAATCCCAACATGTTTTATAACATCTGATACAATATGAGCACCTCCAAAAAAATAACAAAAAATTATTTACAACTTTGTTAAAAACCATAAATTATCAAAAACATAAAAAGATATTGATGTTTCTGATTCAAGGCAGTATTTAGTACATTACAAACTTTCAGTTTATTTTAGCTAATAATAATATAATACTAATTATAAGCATAATTGAAAAATTTGACCCCTAGGGAACAAAAGCTGAAAAGTAGGTTATTCTCTTTGTTTTGTAAGTTAAGCATTTTGTAAATAGTTTTTCCAGAGTACCAAATAGAGAGCATGAGAGCATAAGTGAAAGCATAAATAACAAATGAAAATGATAATATATAATATTTTATTATGTAATTTAGTATAGGTAATACTCTATTGCAGATAAGCAAAGCGGGACAGTATATTAATGTTATTTTTACTGATATTCCCCCAAATATTGTAAAGTAAGTAAAAACTTAGCAAAAGTAAGCAAAAGTCAACTTAAAAAGTAAGCAAAAATTCCCCAAAATATTGTAAAGTAAGCATTATATCAGAACCTCAAGCAAAAGAATTGGCTTTCCATAATAATCATCTTACTCATGGTTTTGAAACTACAACAAAAAAAGGTATTCACAAAAACAGTGAATAACTATTTGTGTTGTAAAACTTGACATTTAAAGGTAAACATCAGGTCATTGCTATGGAATAATTACAAAGAAGGACTTGATTATATAGCATTTATTCAGGTTAAACTTGTGTAGCTTTGATGAGTATTGTACTATATTTGTTAGATATATATTCATAATCATTTCAAATATATTTAACACATGTTAGACAGTTACAGTAAATCATCTTACCACAAGCAATGTTTATGCAACTTGGAGAAAATTTTGAATGAGTTAAACTTCCATTTACATCCTCTTGCCACAAAATGTCATTCAGCAGTGAAGTTTCTGGAGAACAAGAGTTGTTAACTATATGGAAATGATTGTATGGCTGCCAATTTTTAGTTTTTTTTTGACGTAAATTTTGGAAAATTTTACCTTTATTCTATTATAACTTTAGTACATGATCATTAAAAGCACAATTACATGTATAAACATCAAAATAACTTATATTTTTAATAAAAAATTAAATTAGCTACAAGTTAGTTATATATCACTAGGCATACTGTATAGAAATGTTTATTTGTCATGTTGTATTTTCTAGCAACTGTGATACTCTCATTATATATAGAAACTATTCTTATCCTATAAGAAAGTTACGATTTTAATTTTGATAATGTAAATATATTAGTATATAATGCCATGCCAATTTAATATCAGACTTCAAATGCTCAAAGAAAAAATCTAATCTATAAAGATTATTTACTTCCTTGAGCATTTGTATAAATTTGTAGTAATTTATTCTTACATTGTGCTTTTGTTATATTTGTCTATAAAAAATATATCGCCAGTAGGCCCTTATAAAAAAAAGCCCTATACTGAACCTAATTTCAAAAAAAATTAAAAATTTTTTTTGAAATTAGAATTATTATTCTTACTGAGTTTCCCTGACCACCATCATCTGATGAATGGTAATTTATTTATTCATAATTTATATTTTTATCTCTATTTTTTTTCTAATTATATGATTTATTTATTTAGACATTTTCATATAGTACAATATATGGACACTTGTGACATTTTTAACGATGCTTTGTTGTTCAAGTTTTTAGACATAATTTTATGGCAAAAGGAACATTTAACTTTTTGCATTTTGCTGATTTGGTATAGAGGTATTGCAGAAAAACAACAGATTTTATATTTTTAAAAAACATGAATTTTTGTAAGTTTTTTTATATATTTTTTTACAATGTTAAGTTTGGATACATATAAAATTTCCTTACATATTCTCTATAAGCTTGCTTCATATGGTTTATTTGAGAAAATTTTTAGGAATATAAAATTATTTCCAACCGCTTCATTAAAGTCATCCTCCAAGACCAACACTATTCATTAACAAGACCAACACTCTTCTTCATTTCCAGTAACTTCTGGAGTACCTCAAAGTTCAATCCTTGGTCCTGTTTTGTTTCTTTCTCTAGAAAGTTGCTGATGACTAAACTTTATACTCTTGTCTTGACAAAAAGTTTTCTCTTTTTCATCACTTAGAACAGGCAACCAATTTTGAATCTGGTTTCACTTCTGTAACTGATTGGGGCACACAGCATCTTGTAAATTTTAACTCGAGTAAATTTCAATTTTACTGCAAACATCCTATATTAAAGTAGTTATGTATTGCAAACATCCTGTATTAAATTTCCTATATCAATGGAAGGCAACCCTCTCACTTACTCCTGATTTCTATACCTCTACAAATAGCTTATTCATCTCTGTATTGAATACTTTTGTCATATTTAGGCTGGTTATTCTAATGATGCTCTTTCTCTACTAGACAAAGTCAAAAAATGCATTGTAAATGTAGTTGGACCTACTCGATTTGAGAGAGTCCAACTATCTAAGTTTACTGTATCTATCCCTGCATGTATATATTACATATTTGTCTAATTTTGTTTCCCGCATTACAACCCTTTGGAACTCTCTCCCATCTTAATATTTTTCCTATTAACTGTTTCCTTGCTCTATAAGTCTTTTTTTTTTTTCTTAGTAATTCCCAACTTAATAGTGGTGCTTGCAGCCTTGTTGGGAGTGAATCAGTATTATATATATATATATATATATATATATATATATATATATATATATATATATATATATATATATATATATATATATATAAATATATATATATATATATACATATATATATATATATATATATATATATATATATATATATATATATATATATATATATATGTATATATATATATATATCAGGGACTATTCTAGACTTTTTTCAACAGTGTCGGCCGTATTTAATTTGGGCGCAGCCCAAATCAAAATTTGACTTTTTTTTTTTTTTTTTTACATTTTTCTGGCAAATATCATGGAAAAATATATATATATATATATATATATATATATATATATATATATATATATATATATATATATCAGGGGCTTTTCTAGACCATTTTCAACAGTGTCGACTTTATTTAATTTGGGCGTGGCCCAAATTAAAATTTGAGCACCTTTTTTTTTTTTTTTTTACATTTTTCTGGCAAATATCATGAAAAAAAATATATATATATATATATAAATCCAATTAAGATAAAACTGAAAAACATAAAATTATTAGATAAGTTTTTATACAAGACTGCTCCAACCGTGTTAACCTTTAAGCATATCAAAATAAAAAAACATTCTGCCAATTTCAGAATTAATTTTTTTATTTAAATCTCAATAATATCTGAATTAAAATATTGCCATTAAAGTAGTTTTTTTTCCATTTAGTAGCATAAATAATTAATTTTAAATATTTTCCACACAAAAAAAACATGTCACATCTTTACTAGAATCTACTATAAACATGTAGCCTACTGTTGCACTTATTACTTAATACCAAGTTATTAGCATTTAGATAAGAATTAGAAAAGTTATAATATTTTAGGTGAAAAAATACTTAACTTTGATCAGTTTCGTCAACAAATCCATGTAATAAAAATTCGCTTCTAAAAAACTCCTATCTTTTGGTAGATTTTTTTGATTTGATAATGTCTTTATTTTTAAAATACTGTATTTAAGGGGTTTCTAATGATTCTAATATTCAAGTATTTAATTTATTTAAAATTTTCCTGTTACGAACCTAATATTGTTTAGTCATACTTTATCTATACATAAATTTATTATTTTATATACATTGATTTAGAGTGAAATAAAAATGGATTTTGTTTTCGAAGAAAAATAAATTCAATATATTAAAATGTTAACTAAATGTTAAAATGCAATTTATATAAAACCTTGTAGGAATACTACTTAAAATACTAGCTCAAATACATACATCCAGTTTCTTTTTGAATTTCGTCTATATCACTTTCTTCTAGTTGTAAAGAACATTTTGAACCCATTAGTCGACTGATTATAGAACACAAGATTTAAATTTAATAGTGTCTCTTCATTTGTTTTTGTTTTTTCTTTGAAACGAATCGATTTTACGAACCGATTTGAAATTAATTGATGCAAAAGTAAAAAGCGATGTTTACTTTTTAAAATTGGCGCATCTGCATTTTGAGATTTTGCGCAACTACAATTCCTTTCTTTCAAATTTTCTTTCTCTCCTTTTAAATCATCGCAAACTTCGTTCATCTTTATAACTTGTTAGTAATGAAAATGTTTGCTTGCGGAAATTTGTCATTGCTTATAGAAATTTGTATTTCAAGTTTTTATCCTGTTATAAATTTGTTCAAATTCCAGTTATTTTTAGTTGTTGAACATCCAAATTTTCAGTTTTTTAAAAAAAAATTAATATTCTTTTTCTCTTTCTCCTTCTCGTTCTTCAGTTTTAGTAAATTAAGACTTTTTTTTTCTTCTTTTAAATCGTCTCAAATTCTTTAGAATCAATAAAGACGCAGATAGTGAAAATTGCTGTTTTGACCAATGTGTTTCAGTCTGGTAATTTTTTTTTTATTTATTTTTATTTGTATACACATACATATATACACACACATATATAAATACACACACTTATACACACACACATATATATATATATATATATATATATATATATATATATATATATATATATATATATATATATATATATATATATATATATATATATATATATATATATATATATATGTATATATATATATATATATATGTATATATATATATATATATATATATATATATATATATATATATATATATATATATATACATACATACATATGGATAGATACGAAAGTGCCGAGCCGTTACTCAAGGAAATAAATGCTCTAAATGTATACAAATTAAACATCTACCATAACTTGTTATTTATGTTTAAACTTCAAAACGAATTAATTCCAAAATATTTTTATAAAAACTTCTCTCTTATTAATCATAAATATAAAACAAGACACTCAATAAATAATTACTACATCCCACTAACATTACTCAAAAAGTCTGACTTCTCAATTACGTGTCGGGGACCACGCTTGTGGAACTCGGTTCTTGACGAAAATATGAAAAAAATAAAATCTATTGATATATTTAAAAGAGCTATAAAAAAACACTTAAACACTTACTAAATTTAAACAATACGTACATTCTTTCATTTTTTTTAATTAAAAAAAATATATATATATGTATTTTGCGTGTGTATGTATATATATATATATATATATATATATATATATATATATATATATATATATATATATATATATATATATATATATATATATACATATATATATATATATATATATATATATATATATATATATATATATATATATATATATATATATATATATGTGTGTGTGTGTGTATGTGTATGTGTGTATATGTATATATATATATGTATATATACATGTATGTATATGTGTATATATGTATGTGTATATATGTATATGTGTATATGTGTATATGTATGTGTGTATGTATATATGTATGTGTGTATGTGTGTGTATGTGTGTGTATGTGTATATGTATATATGTATATGTGTGTATGTATATATGTGTATATGTATATGTATATATATATACATGTATGTATATGTGTGTGTATGTATATATGTATATGTGTGTATGTGTATGTGTGTATGTATATATGTATATGTGTGTATGTGTATATGTGTATGTGTATATGTATGTGTGTATGTGTATATATATACATATACCCTTTTTATATATATTCTTCTTGTTTCTTTTTGTTTGTCTGTTTTAATTTTGTTTAAAAAAAAATACGAGTAGATGAACTTAAATCTATAAAGTGTTCGGAATCTTTTTTAATTCAAAATACCTTTTGTATATTTAAATATATATTATAAAGTTTATTGGATATGTATACGCATATGTACGGATTTGTAAATTATTTTTTCAAACTTTTTTATTTTTTATTATTTTCAAACTTTTTAGTTTTGTCAAACTTATAAATTATTTTTTCAACTTTTTGATTTTTTCAAACTTTTTAATTTGTTTTTTTTTAAACTTTTTTTAATTTCACTCATTTATATATTATTGGAAATTGTAAAATTTTTTTTATTTTTTTATTTTCACGAAGGGGCTTGATGATAAGACATTTTGTCTTCTACTTGCCCCAGTCAGCTTGCATTTGTATAAATTTATTTGAATGTAAGGTTAACATTGCAAAATGTTTCAAATGACGAAAAAAAAATTATTATTATTGTTATTGTTACATATACTTGTATGCAAATATTGGCATGGCCGGTGCGAGTAGGTGTCACGTGGGGGGGGGGGTGCTATTACAACTTTTGCCGACTAAAAAAAAAAAGAAAAGGTTCTCGTTTTTGAAAATTTGCCGAATGCCATGACGATATTTGCCGACTGACCAATCGAAAGAGTCTACATTTGCCGACTAACTAGTCAAAAAAGGCCGACTAAGGGTCAAAAATGCCGACTAAAAATCATTGATGGGGGGGAGGGGTGTCACACACCCTATCGCGCCGGCCTTGAATATTGGAGTATAAAAATATTCCATAAAACGTTATAATAAAATATAACTTAATCCATTAATAAATAAACAAAAACAAAAGAGCGTGTTTATACAAATTTCTTATTTTTAAAAGTATTTTTAAAATGTTGTCATTAAAAAGAATAAAATCTTTTAATTTCTTTTTAAAGATTGGAAAGGTAATTGATAAATCAAAATTAGGTAAAACAATTTTGTTCCAGAGATTGAGTAGTGAGAGTTCCAGAGATTACCAAGTGCACGAACTGATACAGAACTGATTGAATTTTGTTCGACAAAAGAGCTCATAGAATAAGTTATCATTTCGTTGTGGATACTTATTTTTTGTTTTTAAGGTAATAAAATCTTTAAAAATGTGTAATGAAGGATTGATTTTACATTTTAATATATTCACTTCATAAATATTAAGTATATTAAATAGGCGTATTGCGTGTTTCTGACGATAATAAAGAGTATGCAACTTACTTTTATTTGCACTTCCCCAAGCAGTATTTGCATAGTTGATATAACTATGTATGAAAGAGTAATGGAGTTGGATTAAAATGGTTTTGTTTAAATTATTTCTAGATTTATAGATGACTCCAAACTTTAGTGCAAATGTAGACAAAATGCGGTTTCAATGTAACATTCTCATCAAGATAAATGCATATACTCATATACGCATTTAATTATTTATATTAGAAAACAGCTCATTAGTATTACTGTTTGATAAAAATAAATTCGTATCATCAGCAAATACTTCGAAGATTAGCTGCTTTACGTAAATCATTAATACAAATTAAAAACATAAGAGGACCTTGAATAGAGCCTTGTGGAACACCACAGGTTATTTCAACATAGTCACTTTGAAGGCCATCATAAGAGGTAACAAATTGCTTTCTTTTTGTAAAAGAACAATAAAACCATTTTAACCAAAATACTCGAGCTTTTTAAGCAATATTTTATGGTCAACGGTATCGAAAGTCTTTGAAAGATCAATAAAGACTCCAGGGTATATTGTTTTTTTTCGAAAGATTCTGAGATTTGCCTAACAAATTAAATAATTGCGTACTCTGTTGAATTAATTTTTTTAAAGCCAAACTGTTTGTAATATAATATATTATTTTGATCAAAATATTTAAATATTCTATTATATATTATTCTTTCTAATAATATTGAAAAAGTTGAAAGAACCGAAATCGAGCTATAGTTGTTAATATTTGTTTCATCGCCTTGTTTGTAAATTGGTATAACTTTCGCAATTTTCGATTGATCCTTAAAAATTTCTTGTTTTATAGATGCATTAAATACTTATATAAAGAATATCTTTCAAACTTTCATAACAATCTACAACTATGTTACCACTTACTTCATTAGCACCAATAGCTTTATTTCTTTTTAGAGATAAAGGCTCTATCGAGCTCATCGTGGGATAATTCTGAATAATCATTCAGAAGAATACTGATTATTATAATGACATTTATAGGACACAAGTAGTCTGGAAACGAACTCTTGGTCATAGGAATTTTTTTAGAGAGATTAGTTCCAATTTCAGTAAAAAAATTGTTAAATATGTTTGCAATTTTGCTCGGTTTACATATATTTATATCTTCAAATTTTATAGTTTGTGGTAAAGAACTTTTTTATTATTTGGGGATCGATTTGGAACTCGGAGAGGAAGAGGAGGTCTGCAAATGGCGTTTCTGAGATTTCTGAGGGCAGTAGGTCAATTATAAAAGTATGGTGACACTAAATTTAAAAAAATATCATATAATATTGGGTTAGTAGGTTAAAAGCGTAGATACTTTTAGGGAGGTAAAGTACTCAAAAAAACATACGGCAAATTCCGGGGGGGGAGGGGTTTGGCAAAAAAAAAGCGTACGTACTTTATGGACGACCCCTTGCCAGGTGCGCGTTGAGTTGTTTTTAAACTTATTGATCAGATTAGTATAATAATTTTTTTTTTTAACTTTACGAATTTTTTCGAATAAATTTTTATGATTTTTATATATTTTTTCATTTGCAGAGGGTTTAATCTTTAATTATTTTATATATATATATATCTTTTGCTTTATTTTTGAAGATTTTTTTTAGCCTTTTGTAATCTAAGATTTTATCAAAGGTTTAATCAAAGGTTTTATGACTTATAAATTTTTCACATACTGGAAAGTTCGCGCCATATAGGGAAAGGCGCCTATGATGGCATACTTAACTTTGAAGCTTCATTATTCAGTATCCTTAAGAGCAAGAACAAAAGTTTTGATATGGATACATTATTTGTTACATGTGGAACAATAATAACCCGAGGAGTTTTTATCAGCTTTATTTTTTTATTGGTTATTTTTATTAAAAAAAAAGCACAAGTATGCCATCATAGGCAACTACTGCTCCTATGATGGCATAGGGAAGGATGGAACTGGTTAGCATCAAGGATAACTCGATAATTTCATTTGACCTTAGAGTCTTGCCTCAGAAATGCCAAAAATTACGCGTAATTATCCTAATTGACCCTTTTGTGCTAAGAGATATTGCGTCTTATGTGTTTTTTAAACCAAAGTTTTTTTACTGAAGTAAAAATTCTTTTTTACTTCACTAACAAATATGTT